ACACACACACACACACACACACACACACACACACACACACACACACACAAGTCTTATTATGGCTTAATTTCCATTTTTACGGAGCTCTCGTGTAAGGAATTAAGTTTAATACGCGCTCGTTAAAATTAAATGCCATGCAATTGGTATAATAGCACGAACCGTTACCAAACACGATTTCAACTATTTACAAAAGCAATTATGCGAAGAATTGCAAGAGTGCGGAATCAACACATCCGTGATGAAATATAAATATTTGTTGCACTGGTCGGGCAGTTTATCGTAGATGTACAAGCCGATAGTGAAAAATTTCATTATTTTTATTTTGTCTCTGATCGATCTGGACATTTTTCACGTAGAAAAATATTCCTTAAATGGTGTTGGTGAAATTGTAAGAATTATGGTACGATCAATCCATCTATAATGTGTGTTTTTATTATTAGATATTCGGTAATTTTTGTCATTTTCAGGATCCATCTTATCAAATATCATTAATCGTACAGCTGCGCTACACTCTGTTTTCTGTAATGCATGCCAAGTTGCAATTTACGTATCTTGCATCGAAAATCTACATAGATGTACGCTATACTTACTTTTATTTCGTGTTCCGACTAATTTTAATGTAATTTGTTTCGGACAACTCTCCCTCTCTCTCTCTCCGTCTGGCTCTAATGCAGGTCAGCAGCGCGGAATAAGCTTCCCTTTTTATCAGCAGTCACTATTATGGGCACACGATCGATGTAAATATCTCATTTGCTTTATTCGGGACTTGATTCGGGATTACTTTAATCGAAAAATTTCCTTTAATACAGAACAACAGAATTCATATCTTAAGGCTATTTTATGCAAATACAATAATGTATCTTACTTGGAATTTGAATGAATCGATAGATTAAACGAGAGTTTGATCATTTGTGCAACTATCGAGGTAACCAATTCAATAACGAACCTCACCGATACGATAAATACCTCCACTACCTATGATTACGACCATCTATTACTTCCATTTCCAACTTTACTCGTTACTAAGCTACCATCCTTTCCGTTTGTCAATACAATACAACGAATACAACACGAGATTCTCATGCAATCGTCAAGATTGCATTCATCGAGATTCTACTGTATCATTCCTCGTGTACGTGTATGTAGATTCATTGATTTCCATAAACAAGTTTACAGAGAAGTTAGTAATAATCGTGTCGATAATAATCAGCAAAAAATAAAGGTAGTCGTTACGGCATTAGGCCATTCTTACTTACATTAGTTCCTATTAAACTTATAAAAGTACGTTTATCACGGAAAGCAAGTTCCAAGGGTCAAAATTTGCTGACCCGACTTTCTAACAGATTCTCGAACAAAGAATGATCTATTCTCACAGTAATTACCAAGACTTTATTCGAATGGAGAAGTGGATGTTTTATGATTATACAGATGTTTGATAAGAAAGGAAGATGTCAGAAATGAAAACATTATTATACATATTTAAGAAAGCATACTTGTCCATGGTATTATATGTACAGGTAACGATACTTTTTCTTATACATACAAATGTTAATTGTATTTTTTCTTTATCTGCTTATCTTCCAATGAGAATTAAGAGAGTTTATGAAATTGTAGTGTTTCGCTCAAGTTGCAACTTGCAAATCTATCGAACCGTAGACGTAGCTGAGTACGAGAAGAGTTTTCATCTGCCGCCAGATGGCTACTAAGGATTCCTTCCGTTTCTCGCAAGCACTCAATCTGATACACGATTTGTATATAAGGCCGAAACGAACCAGATAACTTTGGGTAGTCTGGCGCTTCTCAGGAAAGAATCAACGCGCATAATTATTGCGGCTAAAAAACACCAAACCACAAACAAACGAAGAAAAAACTCTCTACCCTTTATATAATTATTTACCATTGTTCTCTCTCTCTCTCACTCTCTCTTTCTCTCTCTCTCTCTCTCTCTCTCCGGTACTTTCAGGTGTACACAGTCTCTCTTTATCCGCGTCGTCATCGAAAATCCGATTGTTTACTTTGTAAAACTCCACTGTGGAAGTAAATTGCGACTATCCATTTTGCTAGAAAAAACTTTTGCTCGCGTGAATACCATTTCTCTAAATAGTCGATTACGATCAAGTTAAATTGTCGTCTGTATTGCAAGTAAACGAGTGTAATTTAAAGAAAATGTTTGTCTCGAGAGGACAGTTTTCTCATTCAGCAAATATATTTCGAATAAAAGTATGCCGTGTGCCTATCAGTGAATTAAATTAAAGGATGAACGTGGCTTTGCTTTAGTATGGAGGCAATGTAACGAATTACATTGACTACGAACGACAGGGAAAGGGTCTAACTCGTTGCTCGGATCCGATTGCATGAAATTTTTATTTGCCGTGTAAATTGAAAAATGAAAGAACAGCAAAGAATTACTGTCACTGTTACGTTGTAGGAAATCAAGGATCTTGACAATTTATCGATTGGAAAATTATCGTAACATCCTTGAAACTTACTTGTTAGAATTCCGCGTCATCCGTCACATTTTCGATTTGCAAGGACCATGTAGAAAGTTGGAGCGTACAATGATTAAGAATGCCAGTAGCTACATAGTCACCTGCATCTGCGAGCTTGTCGTGGTACAACCCAATATGTAATTGTTCTGGATGCTCTTCTTGAACACGACGGTCGCCGTAACGTGTCGTCAAGATCCTAAAGTATCCCGTTAATTAATGATTTTGAAACTTGGTAAACGTACCCGGACTATCATACGTCTTCCAAAACAGAAACTGTTTGTCTAGCAACTTGAGCGTCGTATTCGGCGTAGTAGATATTATGTATCATTAAATTTCGTCCAAAATACATTATCCGTAGACACTTCGATATATAGTTGGACCGTAGAGATACAAGTAACACAGACACATATACATGTAGTACATGCCAACTATAAGATTTATTTATTCTTCGGAAACATAAAACATAAAACATACAAATGAATGCAATATAGGTAATTGTTTTTCCTGAATCGTTAAGCGATAGAGTATACGTGAAAAAATAGTCATCGTTATTGGTTTATCTCGCTACAGATGAATATGATCCTTGTGAAAAGTTAAGGACATTCGCTCGGTGGAATACATTCTCCCTTTTCATTTCTCAACAAGCCTTCTACACACCGACAGCCGATTACGCATTGCTGGAACACAAATTATTACACGTTGTTATAATCAACACTGGTTACATATAACATAAAATATAAGCGAATAATTATTTGTAATATTGTATTTCTTTAATATGTCCGTGTAAAATAATATCGTTATACGCATTCGATTATGTCGAATTCGTACGTAGTTTCTCGACAAAATTCTATGTATACATCGTTAAAATACCAACCAGGGTACATATGTCAGGTTTAGGTTTTTTGCAAGTTGGCGGGCAGGCAGTACTACAGGAATCCCAAACTTGATTCTTCGGACAACCGGGTCTTCCGCTTATAGCTGCTGTTATTTGTTATAAAACGATTCATTAGAAAGCAAATTATTTGTACAGCGTTGGGATATGTCGGATAATAACAGTTTCGCGAAAGAAACTGTTTTCAAAACATTCGAATGTTTCCACTTACCGGCAGAAAAAATTACCAAGATGGCGAACAAAATAAGAAGACGGCGAGACATGTTGGTATCGTATAGGTACTACTCGTTGGATGTTTCCAGTGAAGCTGACGATAGCCAACATGAAATTGCTTTTATACTTGTACGAGTCTTGGTGTTTATGCTCTGCTATGTTTGTATCTGACTTAAGTAAAGCAAACAATAGCACGGAACAAGTAACCGAATGAAAAAGAACATCGTTTAGTATGCATTTATCTTATAGTCGATTTGTCAAGTGTTTGTCACTTTATTTTTCGTGTGTTATTTCTCTGCTGTAACCTAACCACGATTCTTGCTAATCGTATTAATAAAGAAATCCTACATTATACTGCCTGTATTACCGTTCGAATATTTTTCATTGCGTGTTCAAATTTGAATTTCTCAACACAATTCTCGGTATTCCCTGCTTCCTTACACCCCACCTCACCTCCCATATGCGAGGATTCCTCTACAATCTTTAATGTTCTTTTAATTCTTTAATTAAACGTCGAAACTTTCCCATATATCTCTAGATCTATCTTTTTCCATTGCGCAACAACACACTATATTACGAACATATTGTATATCTTAATAATGAACTCTAGTAGATAAATAGTCTATAGATACATTGATTGTCGTACGAAAAAACATTACATTGTTCTTTGATGCGGTATGCTAGAATAATTTTGCTGTTTTAATTAGAAATTTGTTTAAATCTATGTACTATCTATGGCAACAGGATATTTATGAATGTCTTGTCGTCGTTGTAACCTGCCTACTCGAGTCATAGAATACAGATTTTTCTTAAAAACAAGCAAGCAACATTATCAAAGCATGCTTAATTTTTCCGTAAATTAGTCACATTTTTAGTTGCTTTAGCTCATCGAACTTGTGGACAAACGGTTTCACTCGAACATTAAAGCGATACACTGTTTTCTCGTAAACTCTTATCGCTTGATATTTCGCACGATACTTGAACAAATTTACATTCAAAATCCGATTGTGTATCGTTTGTCTGAATCTGTACGGTTCGCTATACTAGTACAATCGAGAGAATCAAGATGCATACAGATCCGAGTACATACAAAGACATAAGAACAAGGAAGGTCCTGTACCTAACCAAGTTTTTCAATTAAAAATGAAATTACGCAAGCAATTTCTTCTTATCACTACTTCTACTATTACTTTATTCTTTTTTATACGCAACAGCTGATTTGGTAATGATCATGTACAATGTATCTTCGTTGTTATACCAACTTCATACACGTCGATAATCAACGGTATTCGAAACAGACAATAATGCAGTTAGTGTTAATTGTTTGTCATTGTTGAACTATGTTGAACGCTACTTGAAATACGTATTCCAGGATACAAATTGATAACCTTGGTCTAACGATAAAGCTAATCTATTTTCCCGAAGGTATTGGACCGCTAATGCGCTCTCTCACACAACTCGCACATGCGCGATTCGAACAATTGCATGAAACAACACAGGAAACAATATCTAAATTTTCGGAAACAATATTAAATAAAAAATCGTGTTACTACAACTAGAAACTATGATACTATTTCCAATTTGATATTTTATATTTCAATTATAATAGATAACGCCACTAACTAAAAGGCCGATAATTATTCTTGTATTAAATAATTATTCATAAAAATGATAAATTTGACATATCAACTAATATATTGCACTGTTATAAAGCATAGATTCGTATTAATTTAGCATTGATGAAATATAGATTGAGGAAAGGAATCGGTGGCGCCATCTTACAGCAACAGTGTGAACTATTTTCACTACAAACTTGGGCGTTTTCCCACCGATGACGCCACTCTACTAAAAGATCGATAATTATTCCTGCATTAAATTTAATAATTACTCATAAAAATGATAAATTTCACATATTAACTGATATATTGCAATATTATAAAGCAATGCATAAAATCGTATTAGTTAAGCATTTATGAAAACTAATAGTAATCGAAGTAATCGGGATGTTCTGAGAGAAGGTCCCGAAATTAGTTTGCTAGTGTGCGACGGTAAATGGCATTTTAACGATTAAAAATGTTGTAGGTATGACAGGTATTTAAGAAAATAATAAAAATGCTGAAATAAATGTTTTATCAGATCGTTACAAACATTCTATACTCTCTATGCATTGTACTAGAGGCGTAGAGTGGAATAGAATATGTACATGTACTTTGAAAAGTACGTGTGACCTTTTACTCATTGTGCAAGTTTTTCAAAGATCGATTAACAACATTTCTCCGGAACACACAATCCATCCTTATTTCTTAGATAGCCTGGAACACATTTACAGCCGGGTCTACACATCTGAAAATACAAATTGGTTAAGAATTCTAGTTGAATGGGAAGACTTGACGCGGAACGAATCGTAAATTCAAGTAGATGATTTCCTAAAAATTTAATGAAATTGTAATCTTTCGTGAAAGAAATTCCGATACTAACAGCTTGACAAATTCCAGGCTTAGGATTTGCACAGGTTTGTTGACATGGAGATACACATTCGTCCCAAACTTCATTATCCGGGCATGATGAGATAGCTGCGATTCATTAAAATTCATATTACCGTGACATACATTTCTATTCTATGTGATTTTATATGAATTGTTGAACGATATCTCACTTTTAACATTAATTTACTATAAGCTATACATATTTTCTGTTACGCGTTATATAAAAATGGAAGAGAGCGACAATCACTGACCAAGAGATTAGAGTAGCAAAGTTTTTGCCATTTTCACGATAGGTACGTACCGATGGAGAAAATTGTCAAGACAGCGAACAAGGTAAGAAGAACACGAGCCATCTTGACTTTATGTATAGTATATGTTATTGGTTGAACGGTTCCAGTAAAACTGAGGAAAATGAAAATAGAAAGACTTTTAATACGGATTCGGAATTGTTTCAATTTATTCCTGACACATGACACCTTACGTTTGACTAGCAATTTCGCTTACTTACGTTTCTCACTAAACGTAAACATTGACAAAAGTAAACTCGTAAATATGGCTGTTTTGTCTATGTGTGTAATGTACGAACATATTTCACGCAAGAGCGCCTGGCGCGTCGTGAATGGCGTGTTGTGAATTATTGTGTTTTCAATGTTGAGTAATTAAGATCCTGTGGATCTGGATCGAGCGTTTTTTTTGCGATAGTTTTCGTTCCGATCTTACGGCACGACCGACTACATAGTAATATTCTGTTAAAATAGTTTTCTTAGAGTCTGTTGCGATTATTTATCATGATTCACGCGATTCGAATACCTACCACCACCTGTCCAGTTGTGATTCTGTATGTATTGTTTTTCGCCGAAGAGAAGGAAAACCGACCACCAAAAACTGAAACGTTGAAAAATAAATGTCCATATTCGTTCCTGTTTGTCGCGTATCCGTATATCGTCGTTGCGTCTAATAAGTATAATTCTTCTGATCGCTCCACCTACAAAAGACAACATTCATTTTCGTTGGGTTATATTTAGCAGACTCCATAGATCACTGCCGAGACTCCTTAAATCAATGTCATAGAGAATTACAGTTGATCGGGTCGTTTCAAAGTATCGTGTGTAGGTGGTACAGTTTCGATACCGATTAGTAGATTAGTTCGATACCGTTTTAGCGTTGAAATGTCGAATTACCAGTGCAAGCCAAATAAGACCTAAAGGATGTTTAAATAAATAAAATTCCGTTAATCGGCAACTCTCTGGTATCGTTTCCTTATTGAAATTTGCGAAAAGAAACTTGAAAACTTGAAATTCATCCATGAATACTTAGATGTTGATACATACTATTCAAGGGACACATGAATTACATCCGGATAGTATCTAGTGCAGTTCAAGTTCGACAATAAAACATATTTCTACATCCTTGAAAACATTGATGACATTTACAAATATAAAGGAACCAATCTCAAACTGGCAATGTCCATTTACGTTTACGTATACGTGTACAAAAGAATTATTTTTTGCTTCGAAAGTATGTGTAAGTGGAGTGATCAAAGTAGGATAGGGATACGGATACGGAAACATTTCCAATAAATATCGTGTGCCCATAGTTAGTTTTAAGTTTTACCGCTGATAGCGTTATAGTCCTATTCCAAGCTGAGTCGATAACAAGTCGACAGTGAGACGGAATGGTAAAGGGAATTCCCAATCCAAAATCCATGAGACATCGACTGGCCAACTCTTGCACGGTGACAAATCTATTCTTTATCACGTCTGTGACGTTGTTGGATTTATACGGCAACATAATTTCCCATTGAGTACGATATACGAATGGTTGAAAGGTTTTTAATTTCTTGCTTATCGACGGTGTTTGTAGTGTTATTTCAGCATTCGTTCATCGAAATCTTCATAGATGGTAGCAAAAGAATTACGCATGTTATCATGATACGACAGTTAATAATAACAGTAAAGATATGGTAAATTAAAAAAATGGTTAAATGAAAATGAAATGAATTATCATCGTTTTATTTCATTTACAATGGTAGTATACATGAGTTGAATTTTGTTGTAAAAGAGAATTTATAGAAATGACAATTATCAGAGGAAAATATTCATCATTCATTATGCGCGTGTACAGATCGCTCCGATAAATTCGAGTCTATTGAAATGCTAAAGTGATCATCGTTGGTAGCCATTCGTTTCTATTTCTACTTTCTATTACTTTATGTTTACATTCTTCATGACTTTCCCTTGGTTAATGGCACGTGTTGAAAGGAACCTTTTAAACCAGTTCGTTATCCGAGATCAGTCGAGTTTTGCCGATCTTACTCTTGATAACGCTGTTTTATTTTAGTTTGCTGATAGGTTCGTGGTCGTTCGAGTTCGAGTTCAGCTCGAAAGAGAATTGTCGAGTGTTTAATTGGTAGGATCGCGTGCACGGGTAGAGTATGGAAACCACGAGTCGAGTACGGAAGTATCATAGATTGGCAAAAGAAAAGTATGTACTCCGAATGTAGTCCGAAAGTTGCCAGAAGGAATTTGTAACGAGAATCGCGTCGATGTCGACGCAGCTTGTCTCGGAAACCCGTAATTACCGGCGCCGGTGAAAGAACCGGAGCTCGGTGAGCAGCCACCTTTTAAAAAGGTGTTAAAGCGTGCCGCGAGCGCGCATGGCTAGGTGTTAATTTAAAACAAACCAAAGGATAGCCGCGATTTCGAATCTAAGGAACGCGCCGCCGATCATCCTATATTTTCGCCCGAGACACACCTCGACCTTGTACGTACGGCTACAGCCCTCGGCTATACCCCGTAATCTCTATTTCTTTCCTAACGTATCAAACAAACAATCCATTACGATCGAACCATTATCTGTGCCATTATTCGAATGAAATTTATTCGGAAAACAGATTATTCGTCGCTGATGGATTTACTACATTTTTACAGGAGTTTTTCTATAACATTCCGAATATCCGTAAATTTGATTGCTACGAATCATCCAGTTGTCCGAGACGATACTACAACTACAAATGTTCTACCAACCATCTAATCAACAAGCATTCGAAGCAATTTATTTATTCGTTTTTCCCTTATTTTTTTCTTTAAAGCAACCACAGGGCAACATTCTGGATCCTCCTTTCTTTTGCACCTTAACCTTTTTTTCCTCCAAGCTGGAACGTGCTTTCACCGTTAATGACTACAAACTACATATTTTACGACTCATCGCTGAAATTTATAGCTTGCTCTATTATACTTATAAACGTGTCAGACGTATCGTACGCCAAGTTTATTGTACGTTGAACCTAACAATTATCTTGCAACCTTTAGAGGATACGTTTCTTAAATAATGTTAATGTTTACAAAATCTGACGATTAAGGTTCGTTTGATAGGTGGCGAAAGGAGCGGGTGAAAAGATAGTTGCTGAAATGTTGTTCAATTAGAGATCCGATTTGCATCACGGCCGAAGATGCACGTTGCTTGAACCTTAACGAGACAGCTTTGTAGCTCGTTATGCTTTCGGTTTATCACGATCGAAGGAATACACAAACATGTATGTGTATGTATTACATGCATGTACAACGATGTATAGCGAAAGGTCTGTTTTCGAAATTGAAAACGATACGTGGCCGTATCGTAGCCACCGATCTTTCACGTATCTCGACTTACCCTCTCATTTGAGAGTTCGAAGCGCGAACCATACCGATCTACGATCTATCGATCCTCTGAATTAGCATTCGAGGCGTGAATCTTTAGCCGAATCGAGTCGAACCATCGACAACTTTTCAAGTAATTTCTTGGGCCGTGAGCGTTGATCGGATGTTCGATCTATCCAAAAAACCAGATGATGCAATTTACAATCTTGATTGCTCTTAGGTAACAACTAAGAAGCATTCGTGCTTCTCTATTGGTGAATTGGTCATTTGAAACTCGTACTTGTAGATTTGTACTTGATAGATTTTTAGGAGAGTACGAAAACATTCGTCACGACACAGTTTACTTTGTTTACTATATTTAGAGTAACGGATTGCTCTTGTTCCTTTTTGGGCTTTCAACCGAAAACGTAAAACGAAAAGGAAGAGGTATATATACATGTATACATGTACTCGTAGCATTTTACTAGAGGGTGAGATGCGGGGGAGGCGCGTGGCTATATTTTAGAGCCGGCGCGCGTGAAACGGTCAATTTTCAAAGGAGGGAGAAACCGATATCCGATCGTATATCAGAGCACGGAATGGTCGGTCGCCTTGAAATTATCGGAAACAAGGGGCAAACTAATGGGCCAAGTCGGACCATCTGGCTCCGCGGGGGCTGTCTGATTCACGCCAGCCAACCCGTTCACCGTTTTACCAGACGAATTAACCGATGTAATATTTGGTAAATTTCTAGTAGAGAAAATTACGTGATCGCGTCGAGTATTGTAGTAGAGTGTGTAGTTGTGTGCACTGTTTCGCCAGTTGCCGATAAATTAATCGGCGAGGAAACGTCGCTGTGCCCGCGCCGCGCCGCGCTGCGCTGCGCCGAGGGGAAGCAATGTCCTAACTAGAGAATGTCGGAAGAAATAAATGAGCCGTTTATACTTACCGTGAGATTTGTTCTCTGCAATTAAATCGATATAATAGTTTTCTGCAAAGTTGGGGCTAGCTGCGAAAGCGAAACGCGGCAAATTTCATTAGAGAAGTGTAAGAGTTGGAATTACCTCGGCTTGGATAAACTGTTGGTCGACCGTCCATCGACTAAGAGAACTAGGTCGCGACACGTGCTTTCTTGCCCGTGTGTTGCCGTGAATTTATTTCCAGAAGCTAACTGTATTATTAGCTACTGTCTACCAATTACGATCCTAGCGAGTGTATTCGTTCGCCGTTTACGGTTACGCTACATTCTTTCCTCGGTGTCAATTAAGAAAAGATATTCGCGATTTAGACGCGTGGGAAACACGCCTGGCTAAACACAATCCAATTTCACGCAAACTCGATCATCTACACTTTTGTCTCAACTTATTTCGTTAATACAATTGTTAATTAATAATTTGGTAAAACCTCGATACTTGTTCTTCTTACGGAAAACTGCATGCCTTAAGCTTACCTAGTATCGTAAGTGTATTATACGGGACGAGACCAAAGTTCAAAGAGACCAAAATTGATTTATTTCGGAAGGGGACTTTTCAAAATGAACATTCGAAAGATTTCCACTCTTTCGTTCTAAACATCATTCGTTCGCATTAATTGTGAATTCTCTGTCACGAGTAATCTATCAGTAGTTGTTGAATTCCGAGACAAAGTTTATGCCTCCCACCAAATCGAATTACTGACTTGACCCCATGGAGAATTTTCGCAAACGGTACCTGCAATCGCATCTCGGACTGGAACTG